CCCCAAAACCCCAAAACCCCAAAACCCCAGCCTTTCAGAACAGAATGAAATTTAGGCAAGCCGATATTTTGTTAAATAATAAAAATGGACTACCAGGATTGCCAGCATGAAGGCTGCAATATTCCGACTGTGTTCTACATAGAGGATAAGAAGCTGTTGTATGCCCTCAACACAGACTTACAGCATAGTCGGAGCTTTCCTATATTGTTCTTATTGATCTTATTTTGATAAAAAAGCGAGTCAGGATCTTTGATAAAAAATGCAAGGTGTTCATTGCCTTTGCAGAGAATCTTAATAATGGTGTCTGCTCTGAAGAATGCCAAAGCCTGAGTGATACAATCAAAGAGGAGCTTCAAATGATCCTGGAGAATTTGGAGAAAGCTATTTCAGCTGGCAAACACTTCAAGTATGAATCTTTGTACAAAGAAGTTAGAAATATAGAGAATCTATTCTCAGAAGATAAAGTATAAATTTCTGTAATCAAGGCTTGGGGCAAAGGATTGAATCAAGCTAGACTTGAAGATCAAAGAAGCATCGAGTTAATAAAGGTAGAGCTCAAGCAAAAGTAAGACTTAAATGATATCAAAACAATTCTCAGAAAATTTATGCTCGGAGAGTCAGAGAACAAATCCAAGAGATTTTCATGGATTTCCTGTGTCGAATAGTATCAGCTGCTGTTTTTAGAAATTTCACTGTGGAAGGTAATAATATTATGCCAAACGAAGTCTTCCCCGCTATAATTTCTTGAGCGACAAGACCTGATATCATTTCGATGCTATTTGGCATAGGAAGTTTATAAAAACCTGCTTAGTTTGATTTCTACCTCTGTGAGAACAAAATTTAAGAATCACTTAGATATCTATATGAAGCCATATTTGAGAAGTTCATACAAAAATACGAGAGCAAAGAAGAGTTAATGAACAGAAGCACCAGAAATAAATATGTGCTCTAAAATCTGTACTAAAAGTTAAGGAAGAAAAAATTAAACATCTTGAAAGTAGACTCCAAATTAACAGAGGATTCGAAGAAAAAAGGCTTAATGAAATCAGAATACAACAGACAAAAAGACATATTGAGAACTCTTTCTCCGAGTCAAAGGATGATGTTATAAAAGAAAAAGAAGTTGAAATTGAATATCTTAAGAAGCTTAATCAAACCCTATTAGAAGATTTATCAAACGAGAATTATCCTCTTGAAGAGAAAATCAAGTTCCTTGTGAAAATCTTAAGGAGGTAGAAAATGAAAATGCTCAGTTTGTTGAAGAAGCCAAGAAAACTGGTAGAGATTTTGAGGAGATAATACAATTAAAGAACTTAATGATACATTATCAAGCCAAAATAAAATCACTAAATTCCAACCTTGACACTTCAGATTATTCAGACTTCAGTCTCCTCTACAAGCCTAAAATATTATTTACTATTACTGGGGCGAATCAACAGTTTGGGGTTAAGTCTAAATTAACACTGAAACTTGACAACCCCAAGCACATGTTATTCCTGACATCTCTAAAGCAAAGAATGCCAGATCTTGAGGCTCCCAATCTTTGAAACTTCACAGTGGAAAGCAAAGAAGTGAAACATTTCTTGGCAAACTATTTCCCCTATAAAGTTAGAATATTTCACTTTAACTATTCCTCTAAATTGAGTTCTTCATTGTCTTTCTACTGGGACGAATTGGAGGAAGTGAAAAGAGTAACTGGAGAGTTTTACATCCATAGATTTGAGCTGTCTGAGTCCGAACTAGTTGCCTTATTCTCTTCAAATAAAGCCAAGGAGTGCTTTGGATTTAATCGCTGTAAACTCTCTTTATCATCTGTGTCTGATTTCGAGAGAAGCTGGAGGGAAGCACAATGAAAGTACTAGATCTAAAGGATTGAGGCCAAAGTTCATTTAGTGATTGGGAAAACAACGAATCTTATTTTGATAGCTTAATAATTGGTCTTTCCAAAGAGCAAGACTTTCGAACTAATTTAAAAAGAATATATCTGGAACACTGCGGAATTGAGAAAAGCAAGGTTATGAAAATTCTGGAAGATAATGGATTTGAACATGTGGAAATTTGTAGACACTCAAAATAGTCGCATGGAAATTAGGCTTTTGATTAAAAATTTCTTGATAATTTAATCCCAGAGTTTGGAGAATAAAATCTATCAATATGTCTATTTTCTATTTGGATGATATCATTTCAGAATGTTAAATTTAATATGTGTAGAATATTTAAGTTTTCAATTCATGTTTAAAAATAAGGGGTTTTGGGGTTTTGGGGTTTTGGGG